TCAGGTGCGTGTGTGATGGTGCTGGTGAAGATCACAGAAAGTACCATCAGCTTCCAGAAGAACAAATACATCCGTCTTGTAAGAAGTATAGTCAGACTATACCTCAGAAGCAAAGATGGTGAAGCTCTGTCCCGTGGACTTTGGCCATGTTATCAAGAGAGACCAATTCCCTAGAGAAAGACATCAGGCTTGGTAAAGGGGAGGGACCGTGAGAATGTGGAAGATCCTCAATGAGATGGCTCGACACAGTTTCTCCAAAAGAACAATTGTGAGGATGTCAACGGACTGGGCAGGGTTTTTTGTGGTTGTTCTGTTGTGCCTGGTGTTTCTCTATGAACTGGAATGACTTGATAGTATCTAACAACAACAAAGATGATAGCTAGTGTGTTAGTCTGGGTGGACCAGAGAAACAAATCCATGGACACACATATGTGTATAAGGAAGAGGTTTATATTCAAGATCAATTGAACATGAAGAAAACATCCCAGCCTAGTCCAGATCAAGTCCATAAGTCCGATATTAGCCCAGATATTAGCCCATATATCCGATACCGATCTATAAAGTCCTCTTTAGACTCACAAAACACATGCAATGGTGCCAAATGCGGGACAATCACAAGCCAGTGGGTAGAAAGTCTTTGGGTCCAGTGGCGTTGTAAGCATCTCAGCACTGGCAGGGGTCTCTCTGGCCTCCGAGGTCTGGTTGCATCCATGTGGCTTGTCTTCTGCAATGTCTCCCAGGGAGTAGCAGAGAGAGAGAGAGAGGTGTCTACCTCCAAGGAGGAAGTACCAGGTTTTCCAGAATTCTCAGAAGGCCACGCCCACAGAAGTCTCATTGGACATCTCAAGATTAACAGCCTAGACTCCACCCCTACACTCTTAATCCTTAAATTGACATCAGATTAGGTGACTACCACAGCTAGAAGGGCCACTGTAATTCATTTGCTGCATTGCAGGACCTCACCCAAAGTCTCTCTGTACCGATCTTCACCTCACTGTCTGTACCCACTCCACTGTTCTAGGCTCTACTTCTCACATATGCCCAGCATGTTCCTGCCTAAGGGACACACCGTACCTCAGGGGTTCTCAAACTTTTTAAACAGGGGGCCAGTTCACTGTCCCTCCGACCGTTGGAGGGCAGGACTATAGTTTAAAAAAAGCAAACTATGAACAAATTCCTATCCACACTGCACACATCTTATTTTGAAGTAAAAAAACAAAACAAAACAGGAACAAATACAATATTTTTCATGAAGAACAAGTAAAGTTAAATCAACACACTTACCAGTATTTCAATGGGAACTATGGGCCTGCTTTTTTGGTAATGAGATGGTCAATGTCCGGTTCCATATTTGTCACCCTGTGCCAACCACGCTGCGATCTGTGAACGTGCACAGGAATCTGATCGTGTGGGTGAGAAGACCCCTGCCATCAGATCCCACTGCAGGAAAAAAGAAGGCACGTCTGCCTTCTATCTTCTGAATCTAATGTGAGTTCAGCCATACAAGCATATGGGTGAACTAGCACTGCTCAGAGATCGCAACAGTGTGAACCGGGGTTTACACAGCACACAACATACAACATCATACACAACTGAATAGCAATCAGAATATAAATGCACATACTGTCAGTTAAATTGGGCTTCCTATTCCTCTGCTGTTTGCAGAGCTGGATTAAGTTCCCATGGAGCCCTAGGCAAATTACCAGTTTCGGGCCCCCCATGCGATAACACTGAGCACTGACCATTTGCATTAACACTGACCGCTGACCATTTGCGATAACACTGACCACTGACAATTTGCATTAATACTGAGCGCTGACCATTTGCGATAACATTGACCACTGACAATTTGCATTAATACTGAGCGCTGACCATTTGCATTAACACTGAGCACTTGCAATTATCATTACCACCGAACGCTTACTATTTGCATTACCTCTGAGCACTGACCATTTGCATTAGCACTGAGTGCTGACTATTTGTGTTATCACTGTGACGCAACCCCCCTAGGAACCACCCCCCCAAAACTAACCAACTTAAAAACGAAAGACCGCCTAACTTCAGAAAAAAAAGGCCCCCATTAACCACAAAAAAGGGCCCTACTAACTGCAAAATTAAAAAAATAGACCTCCTAACTTCAAAAAAAAAAAATCCTAACTTGCTCTTACCTAGGTCCTCAGGCGGCAGCAGGCTCTACACAGGCAAGCTCGTGACTCATCTGATCACACCCGGGACTGAGAGGAGGAGTCCAGAGACAGAGAAGGAGGGGAGTCAGAGTGCGGTGCACATTCCACACATGCACACTGCGGGCCTAGGACAAGTCTGCTGCTAAGCAGGACAGGCAGCGGTGGCAAAAACACCCGGCCGGCCGGATAAATGTCCTCCGCGGGCCGCATGTGGCCCGCGGGCTGCAGTTTGAGGACCCCTGATTTAGAAGAAGGCAAATATACTGGAAACCATTGAACTATTCACTGTAAAGTTGGTGTTTCAAAGCCAGCAGCTGCTCTGTGGGAGAAAGATGAGGCTGTCTGCAACCATAAAGACTGACAACCTTAGAAACTCCAAACAAGGTCCCTAAGACAGAGAATCTACCCCATGGCAGTGGGGTTGGGAATATATGTATATATATATACATCTTCATGGCCATTGAGTTGGTTCTGATTCATAGTGACCTTATATATGAGAGGGCTTCAGAAAGTCCACGGGAAAATTGAATGAAAAGATAATGATCACACACACACACACACACACACACACACACACACCGCAAGATTTTTAGGGTCTGTCCTGGGTAACTACCAATGTTTATTCATTGGTGGTTACTTTAGAAGGAGAAGAGAGGATTCACAGATTGTAGACCCTTGGTTTTTGTGATGGGAAAATTGCACTGAACAAGCATTGCTTGAGCAAAGTAAATGAGTGCAAGTGAGAGAGAGAGAGAGAAAGAGAGAAGAAACCTTCCCAGAATACACAAAGTTGTGATTCCCCGCCTCAACACCCTCCTGAGTTTTCTATGATTTCTTTGGCCCCCCTAAGAACTTTCTCTCCCTCTTCGATGGGACCAGCGTGTGGAACAGGAAACACAAGAGGAAGTGAGAGGAATGATGCTACATGGCGGGGATTACAATCAATGAGCTGAAACAAAATGCGTATGGATTCTTGAATGGAAAACTGATCGCTCCGTCAACTTACACTCAATTCACGATTAAAAGGAAAGATTGTGGTCATTTCCATTCTGTCTACAAATTATGATTGTGCCAAAAAAAATTATGATTGTGCCGTTTTCACTGCACATCCACAAAACAGACTTTGAGGTGGGGTGGCGGTGGGAGAGCTTATTAAAGCAAAAATTGTCTCTCTCACCATCACCATCCCATTCTCCTCCTCCTCAGGTTTGTAAGAGCAAATGCGAAAGACATAAAGACATACAATAGTTTTTAAAAGCTAAGGAAGCTTAAATGCTAGAGGAGAAAAAACTCCATGTGTATCTGACATGAAAATGTCACCGGATGGGATTGACAGCAGATTCAATCTAGTAGAAGAAAAGCTTATTGAGCTTTAAGAACTAGCAGGTGAATCTACTTCAACCGAATGAAGTACATAGAAGACAAAAGGTCAAGGAAAGGTGAAAGATGTTCAAGGCCTTGTGAGATGGCATCCAAAGACCTAGCATGAGGAAAACTGGAGTCCCAGATGGAGAAGGAAGAGGAATAGAATATATGTACTTACCTAAATACTGTGATTCATTGTTGCAAATTTGGTAAGAACTCTGGTGATGCACTGGTTGAGCAGTTGGCTGCTAGCAAAAGGGCTGGTGGCTCAAAACCCCCAGCTGATCCTCAGGAGAAAAGACTTGGGAATCTGCTCCCCCAAAGACCGCAGCCTGGGGTGGGGCAGTTCTACTCTATTCTATAGGGTCACTAAGAGTCAGGACCAACAGCACACAACAACGCAAGATGAAGTCACAGATCCAACAAACACAACAAACTCCAAACATGATAAATTCACATAGAGACACACACACCCTCACACACACCGACACAGCCTACACCAAGGCTTGCATCCATCAAGTAAAGCCAACTGCTACAGAGAAAAATGGTATAACCAGGCAGAGAAAAAGATGAACTACAAATAGACGAACTACAAAAAATAAAGATAAGCATGAGATCAGAATTCTCATAAGAAACGAGCAAGTCAAAATAATTTAGAGTCCAGGAAGAGGGAAAACGTTAAGGCAGGAATCCGTAGTCATTGAAAATACCTTCCCAACACTAGTGTAAGTGAAGACTTTCCCACACAGGAGCGGAGAGGATTGATCACAAATGCACCTTCACTCTGAAGGACATATAATATCATCAAGCAAAAATAAGAGGAGACTAGAGAGAACATTGCATGTAGACAATAGAGAGAAATTTGCATATAGACAATAGATGGAAATTTGCATGTAGACAATAGAGAGAAATTTGCGTGTAGACAATATAGAGAGATTTACATGTAGACGATAGAGGTAAATTTGCATGTAGACAATAGAGATATTTGCATGTAGACAGAAGAAGGAGGCGCAATGGAAAGGGTTCACAGGTGCCTAAATCAAAAAACGGTTCTTTTTTCTAATTGTGTTTTTAAAAGAATTTATTATTTCAAATACAAGTGAGATGTTAGGGGGTTCATGACAATAGAATGTGGAATTGGAGTAGGGGCCTTACCAAACGCACATTGAGGCAAGCGCCCTGAGGCAGTGTAGCTCAAATGAAGTATAAAGATATTAATCCTCATTCCCAATGTCATTCCCAAGCATGAATCTAGAACCATGGTGAAAGAGTCCTGGAGATGAGAGGGAACGGTGAAGAGAGGTTGTCTGAAGTAGGGGCAGGACTAAGGCATCCAGTATCTTCTTGCTCCACAGGTCTGGGCAGGGAGAAGAAGGCGACCCAAGGCTCCCCCATGCATCATTCAGGTTTCAGGAACCCAGTCCTCAGCCCGGCTGTAAGGGAGGAGGTTCAGCCAGACTTTGCATCCTTGTCTCCTTGGGAGCCTCTGAACCTAGGGGGGCCAGGCAATTCTCAAATCAGTGATCGGTCCTGTGGAAAGTTCTCTCTGGAGAGGCCAAGGTGTGTGGAGCCATCAGAGATGTTGGAGGCTGGAAGTCAAGGGCACGTGGAGAGGAACATCTCACCTGATGTAGTAGATCCAAGTGATGGCGTAGGTCAAAAGGAAGCCAGCGCCCATGATGGCCCCCCTGAGCAGGGTGATGACGAGAGGCCAGGTGCCACCCTGTTCCTCAGAGACACCGGGGCAGGTAGAGGAGACGCCTAGGAGAAAGGGGATGAGAGGGATGAATTTTCCTAAATCCACACTTCAGCTCGCAGCCCCATCCAGAATGCAGGTATTCTGATCCTACTCACCTGACACAACCAGACTCAGGGAGACCTCATAGGAGCCCAACAGGTGCCGAGCCCGGCAGGTGAATTCTCCTCCATCCCCAGGAACCACGCGGGGAAGCTCCAGGACCCCTGGATTCAAAGGCTGGGAGGGACTTAGTGTTAGGCTCCCTCTGGACCAGCTCAGCTGAGCAGGAGGGTTGCTGTCAGCCTCACAGACCAGACGTAGGGACTGGCCTTCTGGGACTTGCAGTGAGGTGGCATTGCTCAAAACCTCTGGAACTGGGAGACAGCCAGAGGGACAAGGCTAAGAAACCCCTCTCCCCCTGTCCCCCCACACGGAGGAAACTGTTGTGAATGGAATGGTGCCCCCCCAGAAAGATTTGGTTTCACTCCCCAGTACCTGTGAGTGTGACGTTGTTGGGAGAGACCGACGTAACCAAGTTAAGATAAGATCCCACTGGAATAGGGCGCACCCTAAATCCAGGAGCAGAGACGCAGAGGGGAAGAAAGCCACAGGTGGAGGAGGGCGGAGGTGGGAGCGACATATCTACAAGCCAAGGGGCATCAAGGTTTGACAGCAACAACCAGAAGCCGAAAAGAGACCAGACGGGGCCTTCTCATAGAGGCTCCAGAGAAAGGACACCCCACTGGACACCTTTCATTTTAGACGTCTGGCCTCCAGAGCTGGCCGAGAACGCATTTCTTTTAAGCCACTCGGCCTGCGACACTTTGCTCTAGCAGGCCGAGGAAACGAACACATGCGTGAATGGAAAACAGCAGCTCTGCAGACACAGGGGGAGAGGGAGCTCAGCGATCCCAGGACAAGGCCGGCTTCCTGGAGGAAGCGGCACGGAGAAATGAGTGGGTGGAAATAGAATGAAGCGTTGGCGATATCAATGTACGGAAAGGCATCCCAGCGCGATGGAACTTGATGTGTGCAACACGTGTAGGTCTGACCACATGTGGGGAAAAGCATGAGAAGACCAATGCAGGCGGTGCACTGGGACTGTCTCCTGAGGCTGCAGGGGGCCGTGGGAGGGCTCCAGCAGAGGAGGGGCAGGGCCAGGTCATGGGCCTGGAAGAGGGGGCTACTCTCCATCTTCTCCTGGATTGGGTTCCCATGAGGTCCGAGCTGAAGCCCACTGGAGCAGGTGAGACTGGTAGACCGGGGAGGAGACTGGTTTGATGGTCCAGGTGAGAGATGACTGAGAACTTAGCTGAACTTGGGACGTAGAGTTGGAGGAAGAAAGTGACTTGACACATTTTTCAGGAAGTCAAGTTTGCAAAACTCACCGACTGACTCACGGGTAGGGTTGGGTGAGAGACAGATGTCTCAAGTGACTTCCAGGATGTCGACTTGGGTAACTTAGACGGGAGGGAGGGTTGTGTTCAGGACAATCTGGCCCAGACAGAGATTTTTGAGGGTCTTCAGGGCCGAGGTAAGATTGGGGACATCGAGGTAGACAACAGGGTTTTATGCAGAGAGAGAGAGGCCAGAGGCCCAGGGTGGGTTGTAGAGGTAGCACGTACTTTGGGTTTCCTATGGGAAATGGAGATGGCAGTCAGAGATGGGGCGAGGAAGCAGGGAAGAGACTTCTGGGGAAGAGTGACAGGAGAGAGATCAAGAGAGAGGGCACAGGTTAACAGGGATGCTGGGTTGTCAACCAGGATTTGGGTGGCCCTGCAGAGATTCCTAGCAGGGGTGGGGCCAGGAGGACTAGACCCCAACAAGAGAGGATCTGAAGAGTGATAGGCTTCTTTCTGTTCGATCTCTATCAACGCCCCCACATATCTGAGCTCTGAGTCCCCAGCTCAGCCGGGGATGGCACAGACCCCAATCACTTCCCAGCCCTCTCCCACCTGGGCTGCTTCCCTGAAAGGCATGGAGGGTCAAGTTCTCCGGAGCATCTAGAAGAGAAATGAGTAAATGACTTCCTTCAGGAGGATAGGGTAGGAGTGGGTAAGTCGAGGGAGGCCTGACTATTCGCTTCATCTTGGCCCAGCCATGCCCCCAACCAGGGTCCCCAAGTACCACAGGCTATGCACTCTTCCCCCCGCCGCCCCCCAACATCCACTGCCTTTAAGAACCCAGGTGTCTCTGGTTAGCACTCACAGGACACATTGAGTTGGATGGTGCTCTCCAGGGTCACACCTGCTCCAGAGGGGATCACTTGACAAGTGAGGCTGGTACCATGGTGATGTGGCTCTGGGGTGAGGGTGAGCACCGAGGAGTGAGCAGTCTCGGGGCCCAGGGATGTGAGAGCCACCCCAATCCAAGTATAGCTGGGGGGAGTCCCCCCTTTACAGGCCCACGGTGCTGTACAGGTTATGTTCTTGGATTGTCCAGATTTCAGGCTCCCTTCCATGTGGATGGTTGATGTTTGTGTCAGGGCTGCAGAGAGAGAGAGAGAGCCAGGCCCCAGTGTTGAGGATCCCTGAGTGGGCTTCTAAGAACAGCCTCTGCTTCAGGAGGGTCTACTCTTCCCTGTCCAACCCCAGCACCCTGTTCCTCTTGAACCTCCCCAGAATTGGGAGCAAGGTGTCCCATCCCACCCTTCTCCTGGGTCCCATGAACCTTCCCCTGCAGGCTCTCCTGGACCCAATTGCTTACCCATCACGCGTACATAGAGCAGGTTATCTAGGAAATTGTATTTAACCAAAGGGCCTCTCTCCAGTCTAAAGAAATATGCCCCCATGTCACTTTTCTGCGCATCTTTGATTTCCAGCGAGCAGTCCTGGATCTGGGGGTTTCCGAGGAGGTGGAATCGGCCCCGGGTATTTTCCTGCACTTTTCTATTTGGGTTATTTGTGGCCACGGGAGCATCTCTGTTCACATCATCCCTGTCACGAAACCAGTAGCCGTAAGCAGGGGTAGAGTCATCCCAGCCTTGTTGGGGGTAGAAGACAGTGCAGGGCACTTGAATGCACAGCCCTTCCTCCACCTTCACGGGACTTTGCAATCGCAGCCTGAATCTGGCATCCTGAGCCAGGGACCCTGTAAGAGACAAGGGTCCATCAGCTGCAACTCCAGTTCCAGCCCCCACTGGCTCCTCCCCTCAGCCACTCACCAGTCCCAAGCAGGAGCAGCAGCAATATCAGCATCAGCATCTCTAAGGTGGAGGGTTCTTGGGCTTCCTCTGTCTGAGGAGAAAAGGGGAAGTCCAGAGAGAGAGGGGTATGGGATCCAGCCCACTTCCGGATGGGTCCTAAGGGACAGTTGTGTAACTGAAGGGAAGAAATGAGGCAGACAAAAGTTTTGGGGCTACTCACCTCCTCTATGGTGCCAGGAGCCAGGTCGGAGTGTGTGTGAGAGAGAGATAAAACGTATTCTTACACCAATTTATATAGTCTCCGGCATGCAAGCTCCCCTAATGACAGGTAGTCACCCATGTAACAAAGTGAGCTGAGTTCACTGGAGGAGTAACCTAACACCAGTGCTGGGGCAGGTAAGCGGGAATGATTTCGGGTTACAGTAACAGAGTTTTGTTTTTAATATGCATATGGAAATTTTTCCTAGCACGCAGTTTTCCAAGTTTCAGAGACACCCCCCAAATTAGAACCTTGCAGCAACTTTTCATGCAAAACAAAAGGAAAACATAGAAACCCCATGAACCAGGGGAGGAGCTCGCATTTCTTTCTTCATAAGAGAACTGCCATGACATCCCTTGGTCCTCAATTACTATGTCCATTTACTCAAATGACAGAATCTGCACTTCAGAGTTAAATGAAGCTCAAATGGTATCACCTTCCCAGAAAACATGCATGCCATACTTAACTCATTTCCCTCTAGTCAATTCCAGTTCATAGAGACCCTGGAGGACAGAGTAGAGCTGCCCTTGTGGATTTCCAAGACTGTAACTCTTCATGCGGCTAAACAGCCTCATCTGTCGCCTGTTATGAGCTTTGAACTGGTGACCTGGTTGGTAGTTAGCAGCCTAAGTCATAACCCACTATGCCACCAGTGCTCCAGACGAGTGGCATAGACATACAATTAACATTTCAAGTTAATCTTACATGTTACTTTGTGTGGTATAGAGCTGGCAAGTCCTTGACACCTGGGACGCAAGAGTACATGTTACCATATGTTTGAAAACATCTTCCACTGTTGTGTACAACAATACTCACTTGACCTTAAAATACGGTTTTGCCTGCTTATTTAATATTTGTGTAGAAACCGAATCTCTGGTCAATAAGATTCATATTGCTCTAGATTATTCATTAAAAAGTAGGAATGCATTTAGTGGCATATAATAGAAAATCCAGTAAATTGGTAAACGATAAAGAAGTTGTACCATATTCATGGATTGAAAGATGAAATGTATGAAGATATTAAATCCTCACTGAGTTTTATAAATCCATTTTTAGAATCTGTAATTTATATTGAAAGGCATCCACGTAAGGAGCATGTTTCTGAGTTTTGGCAAATGTAAACATCTCTACCATGATCTCCACTGTGCTAGTCTGGGTTGACTAGAGAAACAAATTCAGAGACACTCATATGTGTATAAGAGAGAGCTTTATATAAAAGACTAATTATATATTAAGAAAACATCCCAGCCTAGTCCAGATTAAGTCCTTAAGTTCGATATTAGCCCAGATATCCAATACCAATATATAAATTACTCTTCAGACTCACGCAACACGTGCAATGAGACAGAATGCAGGAAGATCACAAGCCAGTGGGTGGAAAGTCTTGTGGATCTAGTGGCGGTGGTGGAAGCATCTCAGCCCTGTGTGGGTCTCCACATGGCTCCTCCAGCTCCAGGGCTCTCTGATCCCATCAGGGTAGCTCCATGTGGCTTGTCATAAGGAATGTCAAGCAGAGAGAGGGTATCCCACCTCCAGGGAGGAAGCCAGGTGTTCCCAGAATCCTCATTGGCTACGACCTGATGGATAGGCTAGCCTCCACCCCTTCATTCAAGTTGACAGGAGACGTTGGAACTGCTACATCCACAATCAAAATGTAGAACATTTTTACTACCTCGGGGGTGTCCCCCTATCTTTTTGTAGCTAACCAGTCTTGTCTCAGGCTCCAGCCTCGTTGGTCTGCTTGCTTTCATGGCAGATTAGCTTGGCCACTTACAAAGATCCTATCCTCTTCTTGGTGAAGTTAATGTTTAAAATATGTTGCCCATTTGTCGGCATGTGTTTTGTTTACTTACAGTTTTATTTCTATATTCTGGACACAAATCATTTATCAGTTCCCAGTCTGTAACTTTTCTTCTTGCTCTGTAAAGAATGCCTTTTATATAACACTCGTCTCTATCTCCAAAAACATGTGGTATGCGTGAAAGGACCCTGTAGTTCAGTGGCTCTCCACCTTCCTCATGCCGCCACCCTTTCATACAGTTCCTCATGTGTGGTGACCCCCAACCATGACATTATTTTCGTTGCTACTTCATCACTGTCATTTATCTACTGTTATGAATCGTCATGTAAATATCTGATCGGCAGGATGTCTTTTGATGGTTACAAATTGAATGTCATTAAAGCATAGTGATGAATCACGAAAGCAAGCTGTAATTATATATTGTGAAATATTTATTTCTAGTGACAAATCAATGACATGTTGTCTTGAACGATGGTGTCGCCTGGGTAACAGTCTTACTATAACAACAGTAAACGACATTGCTACATTTGGCGACAGTCTGCGTAAAAAGCCAACCTCAGTGGGAAGGTTGAGATCGCTTCTTTCTCAGCAGATCAGCATTTCTGCACGTGGGTGGGCCTCCTGGAGACGGATAGAGGAGCT